TTGTGCTGGTCTTTCTGGCCGGACAGCTTCTCTGTGTGTTCAGTAATTGGTTTTGAAGTTTGCTCCATCAGCTGCTTCGCGGTGCAGCTTTCTGGGTTGGTTGGTTATTTTGATGAGTCGTGAGAGCGATGGGCTGGCCGGCTGATTGCTGAAGTGTTCCTCCTGGCTGGGTGACAGGCTTGCTGGCTGACCTCGGCCAACTGGCTTTAACTCTGGTGGGGGATAGCGGATAATATTTTCCAAGGCATCTAGGTGATTTAGGAGCCCATGTCTCACCCTGAAGGGGGTTGATGCATTTGGAAAATGTTACCCTATTAAATTCACCCCAAAGGGATGTAGCATAGGCTAATTTATGTTTGTAAGACAGCTTGAGGTCTTGGATTCCTATGATGTGAATATCTTGCACTCTCCTCTTCGTACAGAGGCAAACAAGATCCATTCCTGTGGTTGCTTCATCAGACAGTCAGGCTGTACTGAATCTACATCTGCTGATAAGAAAGCAACTTCTAGATAAATCATACAGGCATGTCTCTGAAGCCTAGAAAGAAGAACTTCTGGCTTCAATAACAAAAGCCGGGGCTGCCCGAACTAAGGAAGGCCGCCTACCGCTCTGGCAGTGACCGATGCATCGCCCTTCCTCCAGCATTGCCAACTGCGGGCACATCACGAGGGCTCACAGGGCTGGTAGGTTTGGCGAGGATGGCAGCAGGACTGCAAAAGCAGCAAAAAAGGGACTGTCCTGATGGCTGCACGGGGGCCACTCATGCCCCAGTAGGCACCTGGGGGACGATGTCCTGAGTCATGGTGGCTCTGCTCTTGGCTGATGCCCTCGATGGCTGAAGTCAGATAGTGAGACATCTGGAAGAAGATTGAGAGAGGCCGTGGCCCCACTGGGGGAATGCAGGGGTTCAACAGTGGGGCTGAGATGTGTGGGTGACCTGGCCATGCAAGGGAAGGCGTGCTTTATCTGTGTGTTCTTCATGCTTGCTATATTGTTTAAATATCTTTATATTCTGCTGCAGAATAGGAATAGTGGCTGTGCCTGAGGCAACCAGCATGTGTCTATGGTGCTCCCTGTGGCATCTAACCGCCCTCCTGTCCTCACAGAAAATCATTAATTAAATTTAAATGCCTCTTGCTGAATTTTCCGCATAGGTCTTTTTATGTCTTAAGCTGGTCATTAGGATTTTTGTGGCTTCTGTGTAGTTATACTGCATGAGTTCTTTAATAAACCATACCAAGGGTGAAAGTGTCTGTGTGAGAGGGGTAAGAGAGGCTGAGTGGCTTCTCTGTGGGTGTCCGAAGTGAATGAGAAGTGAGGGAGAAAAGAAAGGATTAAGAAGTAATTAAAGGATAGAGAGAACGATAAATAAGGAAGAAAAGAAAAGACTGCGAGGAATATTGCTGATAGGCTTTAAATTTGAATTTGGGCTTTTTTTTTTACACACTCAGGGGGGAAGAAGAAGTTGGAGGGAGCCTTGGTTGCTGTTACGCTTTCAAATTACAATCTAAGTGCTGCCTTGATTATACACCGTTCTGATTGCTGTGGCCTAGTGATTAGAGCATAAAACTTGGACACAAAAAAATATGCTGCTTTTCATGACTGTAAAGGACTTGCTGGGTGGTTTTGAATGAGTTATTTCACTTCACTGTGCCTCATTTTCCTGATCTGCAAAATAGGGATATTAATGCCTATTTTTGTGAAGGCAGTCTGAGAAACTTAAATGGAAACTTCTGTATAAATGTCAAGTATCATTATTATTGTTCTTAAACTAATCCATTGTAGTCAACTGCTTTTGTAGTTTTTATGAAAGCAAATACAATGGGAGCTACATAATTGGCTGCCTAACAATGTTGTTTTAATTAGAAGACGACAAAAAGTGTCTGAAAAATGCAACAGTGGGTTGCCTTTTTTCATCAATTGCAAAGAAAAATTCTGCTAGAACTGAACCATACCGTACCATACCAGGTAATAAAGTTACTCTGAAGTATATCTGACACAATAATCAGAAGTAATAGGCTCCGATAATTTCTTGTAACATGTTTGGTTCACTATTTGCCTGGCACAGTTGATTTTTTTATTGTTGAGCAAGTAAAAGTGAGGGTAAAACTGGGAAAAAAAATTGTGTTTACTTCTTTGCCAGCATCTGAGAGATGAAGTTTCCTCAGCTGTGACTTTAAAATCCTAATTTGCAGTTGAATAGTTTGCAATGTCTGGTTTATACACCTTTGGAAACAGATAGTATAACAAACACTGACAGTCCCTCTCCTTGGTGTGGTGAATATGACCCATCTTTTAAGAGGATACTCCTAGAACAAGGTAATGGAACTAAACTGGGAAAGCGTGAGTCCCATTACTCTTCACATTTGCCTAAGTCCTGCTTATCTGAAAGGTAATCTTGCCTCTGCCACTTCACCCTGAGGGCGGAGAGTCCCAGTGATTCAGTCCAGGGTCACATGCAGAAGGCTTTATCCATAGGGGTATGCGGTATGGCAGGATGCTCTTAATCTAGGATGCTGATTGTACTAGTAAAATTGAATGTTTGCAAGTCTAGTTTATTCTTCTTCTCCTGAATTTGTCCCGACAGGAACAGGATTTTGCTGGTGTAACAATGTTTATTTTGTGATTGAGGAAGGAGAATGTGGGGTTTTTTTAAAGACAGAGCGATGTTGGTCATAGGTAACGTGTCTTCCTATATTTAAGTGATTTGGCAAAAATCTGTTATGTAGTCTTGGCCTTAACATGACCCCAGAGTGAGTAACTTGTGACCTGTCTGTCCTCATCAGCGTCAGTACTGCTGCCTTCTAGGACAGCCCAGTTAAGGTAATTTTTTGGTTGCTGTAGGACTTAGTATCTGTAAGGCAGGCTAGTGGAGCAGTCCTGGCTGTTCGTTTTCGGTCCCCAGAGACTGCACTGCAACAACTGCCTCCTTGAAGTGCTTTCCTCCTCCAGGCAGCACGAGCCCATTTTCTGCAGGCTCATCTTCAGCCAGCTCCTCTTTATCTGTGAGCTTGTTCCCTCTAAAACCAAGGCGTTCAGGGACAGGTATTACATTATACGCTCAGTGAGATGGGTAGAGCAATGTGACATCTGAATGCTGATGGCTCCGTATAATGATGGACATGCTGGTATTAATACAGTCATGCCATAGCATAAAAAAGACTCAAATGTTTCCTGGGAAGCCAGGGCCATTCAGAAGAAAAGTTTTAATGACATTTCAGCAATGTATTTGCCTTTAAAGAAAGATACTGCTTCACAAAATAATTAAAAGCCAGTTTGGAATGGGGCTTTTTGTTGGGTGGTTTGTTGTTTGTTTGTTTTTAAATTGTTATACTTTTGAGGATATTTGTGGAGACTGCTCTTGTCTTGCTCGGTCAGAGTCCTACTGTTGTTTGTACCAGGGGTAGTGAGTGCATTACCACTGTGAGAGAGGGCAAACAATTAATTTTTCTAAAACAAAGGTAACATGTTGGATCTTCAGATTTTATCTTTTTGTCCTGATGGTGAAAAACAATCACACTAAATACATGAAATTAATATGATTTTTTTTTTAAAGAAAAATGTAGTGTTAGATTTGTATTCTGTCTGTGAATGGTTAACATAAGTAATACTCTTCATCAGACATTTGTAAGAAAAATGCTGAAAAACATTCCTCTAGTTACACTATTAGGAAGGTTTTATTTTCTTTCTCAGTAAGACTAGTGAGTGTACATACACACAAAACATGCCTTGCCCTACCATTATTCTGAATTGCTAGCTGCAAATGAGATTTTTCTGTCTACTCTTGCACTCCTTAATACATCTTTTTCAAGTGTAAGAAATGGATAAATGGATTTGATTTTTAAGCAAGTGGTCTCATTGCAATTCCACATCAGCAAAAAGCAAGAGTCTTCTGAGAAGATGAGATGAAAATGCAGGCAGTCGAACAAAGGAGCCCCAGAAAACTCATCTCGATGAGCTCAACAGACACATGTTAAAATGAGTTGACTGAACCTCAGTCCCGTGGGTTGATCTTTGGGGAAATGAGGTCCGCCATGTTTTTTCTGATTGCAGCACTAGATGCTTCCACATGCTTCTCTGCTGGCTGCTTGGGGTGGAAGGCCAAATTTTGCTTTGCCGTGACAAAGCCCACTCGGCCAGCTTTCTCCCAGTTCTCCCAAAACAGATTAAAGTGAATACAGACCGAGACAATGGGTAAACTATGATGTAAAGTTTATATACAAGAATATAACATTTATCTGGAGTATTTACAAGGTTAATTAAAGCAATATTTTACAACTCTTTCAGGTTAACCACTAGGTATATTACAGTTAGGCTACAGATGGTTTAATTTGCAAAATAATAAAAAAAAAAAAGTTGCATTCAGATCAACCAGCTCCAAAACTTGTTCATTTTTTCTGAGAGAGAAGGGCTCAGACTTGTGGAAAATAAAGTGTGAGAACGGTTAATATACTCTTACTGGTGCCTATGTATCACATGCAAGAGTCGTAACATGACCTTTATAGTGTTAATATAGATGGCAAGCCATTTCACCTTGGTGAAAGAGTCGTACCCACTGTGACAGGCCAGTTGCACACGTGGCTGTATTTCTCTGCATCTCCTACTTTTGCACAACAAACATGCATGTATACAGAGAAGCAGCAATATAAATGAACCAGCATTACCAAAACAAAGAGGGAAAAACCTCAGACCAAAGTCACATTTGCAACCATAAAAAAAAAAAAAACCCAAGCTTTAAGCGAGATACTTTAATACTTCCCAAAAATAGTCATGATTTTTTTTTTATTACATTTTAACCTCTGTACAAAAATGGAGAGCTCCCTCCCCTCTCAGAGACCGGTCACCATGTCTTATGCCCGTGGCATCTCGAGGCTTAGAAGGGCCGAAGCAAGAAGGTGCGGAAGGCCCGGAGAGCTCGGGGCAGAGGCG